TAAGGCCCCACCCTTCTCTGAGGATTCATGGGCAATTAATGGTGACTAGGAGAGCGAGAGCCATTTTCTTTTCTTCAGTGGTGTGTTGTAGCTTTCTATATGTTGCCCATACTCCTGTAACTAACCCTAATGAAACTGACGGGACACACTCACACTCACACACACACTCACACATACTCACACACACTCACACACACACTCACTCACACATTCATACTCACACACACACTCACACACACATACACACAGACAGGGTGGGGATAGGGCTAGTTGGGAAGAGAAAGGAGGCCCATGGGATGGGGACAAGACAGGATATGGGAGCGAATACAGTATCTACATGTATAAAATGTCACTAGGGAACTCATAACTGTATTATTAATATATGCTAATAAAGAATCCTTAGAGTCAGAGCAACTGTAACACAAAACAATCATACTACACATTTTGTGGTATTTACAAAGAGTTTAGTTCCTCTCTGCATTTACTAAAAATGTGAGACATTTGATTCTCGGTTTGTAAAGCCAGGTATTGAGATAACAGCATGCATTTTCAAGATAGAGTTATGAAGATATTCAATTTGGTGACACAGTGCCAAACGTTAATAGAAATCACCCCCAGGAAACCTGAAGTCCCTCCAGCATCATCCCACTGAGCTACCAATTTATCACACTTAACAAGGTGTGCTGGGAAGAGCTGAGTACCGACCTCCCGGGGACAAATGATCCTCTTGGGACGGGGAGCCTCTTGCTGCAGCTGATACACTGCCAAAAGAAAAAAATAAGATGATTATAATTAGGAAACCGCACTGCATAACACCTCACAAATTCCCAGCTAGGTTCATCCTCAGGACCATAGATAGAAAACAACAACAAAATCAAAAAAAAAAAAAAAAAAAAAAAAAACAGAGTACAGACGCATTCTTCAGACTAGGCGAAGTCAGAAGTCAGTTCATTTATATGGAAATTAGTCACTGAATGCAAACCAGCAAAATAGATTTCTTTGCTCTTATAAAGCCAATTTAGCTTCATAATTGTTGCTGGCGTTGTTCATTCTATGGCTTTCTTGGGAGACTAGATGCAGGTAAAATGCTTTTGATTATTTTAGAGATGAAATTCTGCTCGGGAGTACCTGAGTGTAGGATAATACAACAGGCCCCATGAATTTAAATGATGATGGCTCCTGACATAGCTAGAGAAGAGCTGGCATCAGGGACTGTCGTTTCTGAAATGTTACAGCTATGTACAAAGAGACTGGATTCTGTGAGTGAAGGAAATGCCAAGTATCTCTGTCTGTGTCTCTCTTTCTATGTCTATGTTTCTCTCTGTCTTCTCCCGACCCCCTCAATTCATACTACTGTGTTACTGTGTGTGTGTGTGTGTGTGTGTGTGTGTGTGTGTGTGCTGGCTAAATTTTTTGACAACTCACAAAACAGGGTCATCTGGAAGGAGGAATCTTAATTGAGACAATGCCACCATAAAATTGAAGATAGAAGACAGAAGCAAGTCTGTGGCAGCGATTTCTTGATTAATAATTGATACGGGAGGGCCCAGTCCACTATGGGTGGTGCCACCCTTGGGCTGGTGGTGCTGGGTTCTATAAGAAAGCAGTCTGAGCAAGCCAGTGAGGAGCACTCTTGCATGGCTTCTGCTTCAGTTATCATGCCCAACTGTGATCATGACAAGGAAGGAAAGTACTCTCCTCCCCAAGTTTGTTCACGGTATTTTGATCCCGGCACTAGAACACAGACCAGGACACAGGCATGCAAAAACACGTGACTCCATTCATTACAGCTCCCCAGACAATTACCTCGGGATTTTCCAGACTAATCTGAATTACCATCTCCATCCCGTCCTCTCTCTTTTAATCCCTCATTTTCTTTTTTTCTTTCCTTCCATTCTTTCTCCAGTGCTGGGAGTAAACCCAGGGTTTCCTCTGTCTAGGTAAGCACACTACCACTGAGCTGAACTCAGCCCTGATTATTCTCTTTAAGGGAATGACTACCCCGTGCCAATACTGTCAGACTCCAGTGTCATGAAAATAGATGCTGGAAACAAGCCAAGTTAATCTTATATGTGGAATAGTGAAGAGGAAAAACTAACTTTAGACAGTAAGTCTATAAAAAGGTAAAATCTAAATTCTATAAGGTATTTTGAGAAAGTACAATAATACAAGTACAGATTTGTGATTTAATCTTGACTTTACAAATAAAACCGAAGAATCTTACAGGAGAGGCAGCCAATGAGGATCTGGGCATGAAAACTATGAGACTTCATCTATAATTACAGCTCCTTAGTGCCTTCAGCTCAAAGTGGATGTTTTCTTACCCCAGTTAAGTGTGGATTCCACAGTTCCAGCATAGAGCAAACTAGGTAACCATTCCCAGTGTTGCAATCTGCTATATTTCTGAGTGTGAGTTGCTCTGCACCCATGTATGGAAAGAGAGAGCTTAGCATACAGAGAGCTTAGCATAACTTCTTGGCTCAGAAAGACACCAGGAAAGACAACTAAAAAGATGGCCTCCAAACAACTGACTCCCGTTTGAAGGAGAAGTCTGCATGCAGGTCTTGATGAAGCAGTGTGTGGGGAGGGGGCTGGAGGAATTGATGAGCTGTGGGCACATGCCACTGTCAGTCTGCAGACACTTGTCTGTCCCTTCCTCATCCCTGGCTTATGCGGTTCCACCCTGTCATCTTTCTTCCTATTTGGGTTTGTATTTTGCAGGCCTCTTGCTTCCTTCTCTTCCTGTATTTACTCGTTGACTGCAAGAGGTACCCAAGGCTGATCTTAGACCTTCTCCAGGTCCCATTCTGCCTCTTCCTCCCTCAGACACTGCTCACATCTAACACTGAATGCATAACTTACATTTACAAGGCCCCGTCTTCACTCAGAACTCTCAATGAAGTACTAGACCATACTCCCAACATCCTAGAGGCCTGCTTGCTGATGGGTTCTAAGGGCTTCAGTTCAGAGCTCAGTGTCTGGCATGATGCAATGCCTCACACGCTATCACCTAACCACATTCCATACTCTTTCACACACAGAAACTGCTCACCTGAACAAGGGGAAGCTCATTGACCCCAGACTGATGGCTGAGAAGCCAGCATGGGACTGATCCAGACGCCCTGAACATGGGTGTCAGTGAGGAGGCCTCGGGTAGTAGATCAGTATTTATCCCTGGCATATGAATGGACTTTGGGAGCCCGTACCACATGGAGGGATGCTCTCTCTGCCTGGACACTTGGGAGAGGGCCTAGGCCCTGCCCGGGATGATATGAGAGACTTTGGAGATCCCCCATGGACAGCCTCACCCTTCCTGGAGAACGAGTCTCCACTCGCTTGCATGGGGGGTTGGGAGGAGGTTGGTGGATGGTGGGGAAGGAAGGGAGGGAGAGGGAGCTGGGATTGACATGTGAAGCAAGCTTGTTTCTAATTTAAATTAAAAAAAGAAACAATAAACCTTGAATTGTTCCCCAAGATTTTCTACCTCAAATCCATTAACAAAAAACAATCCTAACCTAACCTTAAGTAATTATTTGAAACTTTGTTTTAGCTATGATGAACACCAAACCTGTGTACATATCTCCCACCACTAAGATTAAAGTAACATGAACTAGCCTAGATTCTGGGACTCATTTGTTTTCCTTAATCATTAACCTAAGTCACTGTCTATAGGGATCCTTAAGAGAAGCTCTAAGTCCTAGCTGTGTGGCACTTTCTTGTTCTTATTTTCAAACCACACTTAAAGGGCAGGCCCTATGCCATACAGTAGATGGCCAACACAAATGAACTCAGCTGTATTTTTGAAGATTTTTTTTGTCTCATAACCTTTGGTGTAGGCTTTATTTTTTTTAACCTTATAGGTCTTCTGCTTACATATTATGGTTCAAAAAGGCGGGGAACAGTACACAGACATCCCCCAGTACCCAGGTCTTCCTTACCTGTGGGTTCAATTAAACACTCACTGAAGACATTTAGAAACAAACTGTTCATCAATACAGACCATGTATTGTGCTTTCTTACCAGCGTTAACCCCAAAGACTTGAGAAACTATTGTTTACATGGAATTTCACATTGCATTTGGCACTGAAAATCACCCAGAGCTATCTGACATCTATTGGAGGCTGTGTGCACATCGTGTGCAAATACTAACCACATGATTTTATAGAAAGGACTGGGGCATCTTCAACTTTAGCATCTGCAGGAGGCCTGGAACCAATGAAAGCAGAGGGCTGCTTTATCTAAACACACATGTACATATACACACATGTATGCAGTACACATGGTTTCACTGTAAGAAGGCTATAAGAAATAGTTTGTTTTGATTCCGTCTTGCTTATGTCTGTATAAATAAACTCTGGCAGGAACAAGGAAGCAATGAAAGCAATTGCCTTTGAAAGATGAAAAGAGAGAGAAGACAGCAGCAGAATAAAGAGCTCCCCATGAATATCTGTCTAGTGTCTTGATTTGGGAACTGTGAGTAGGTATTGCTTATTAAAAAACTATGAGAAAGGCTCTGGGAGATGGGTCAGGAAGACTGCTGGTGAAGAGGAACACGAAGACAAGCTGGCCAGTAACAGAGAAATGAGGACCCTGGCCTTCTGCAAGACCCCAGGGGTCTGTACCAGGAGTCCCTTTGCTCCCCTTGTACCAGCAGGGCGCTTTCTCCTTGGCAGGCTGTAAAAGAGGGGATGCAAACTACAGAGGCTGCTCCCACACTCCCAGAGGTTTAGATCCAAGTGGGATCATAGAGAATCTCACCCCTCTTCCCATTGTCAGTGCCTCCTGAAGCCGAAAGTTCTATGGGGACTAGGGATGGGTTTGCGAACAGCATCTGTGATGGAGGAGTCTAAGGGCAGGCATCTGTCACAAGACAAGAGCAGTCTGGGCTAGATGCTGCTTCTTTGCAAGTCACATCAGCAAATGTATGAGCATCTGCCGTGCACCAGGCACCACTGTCAGCAATATGCGGAGGCTGGGAGGATGAATGGGATGCAGGCACACAGAAGGGATGGGTTTACTAAGGGCCTGCCAGGGAGTCCAGAAAACACTTGTGTCTTCACAAACCCCGGGAGAACACAACTTGCTATTGTTTGCATCCTCGCTTTTCTGATGAAGAAGGACACGCAGGGAGGTTAATTACCTGTGCGAGGACACTCATCTGCACTGTGACCTGCTGACCTCAAAGCCCTACACCTCAGGCCCTTTGCATTTGCTGCTCCCTCCCTCTGTGGCTCTTTCCCGAGATATCCGCATGATTTAAGTCGCCGCAATCATTCAGGCCTTTACCCTCCTCTTGGTGTCTCAGGGAGGCCCTGGCAGCTGCGCCTGTGCAGAAACCATCCTCACTCTGCTCCTTTGTTTCTTCACAACCCTGATTGCCATGAACACCAATGACAAACAAAAAACAAGTCTTTGTTTCCTGTACGCTATCTGTCTGTGTACACTGGCTGTGGTTGGTACAGTGGCCCCAGCCCTAACGGAGAACTTGATGAAGGGATAGCTGTGCCTTCCAGGAGACTTTGGTCGTAGGAGGGAGTCATTTAGAGGCGCAACATCTGCGTGGGACAAGAGCTTCAAGGACTGGCACAGGAGGAAGCCAGCTTCCTGGGGTTACCAGGATAAAGGACCATGGGGCTCTCCTTGAGGGACTGGGGTGGGGGTAACTGCAGCTACAGATGAAAGGGTGACAGGAAGAGGGAGTCTCATTTCAGAAAATGCCTCTGCCAGACTGGTCCATGGGTAAGACTGCGGGCGTATGTCCTTCTCTTTTGAAAAAATATTTATTTTTGAAATTATAATATAATTACATCATGTCTCCCTTCTCTTTCCTCCCTCCAAACCCTCCCTTATACTCCTCCTTTGCCCTCTTTCAAATTCAGTCTCTTTGTATTAACTGTTATTATATGCATATGTGAGTATATATGTACATACATATTCCTAAATATAACCGGCTCAGTCTGTATAATGTTTCTTGCATACGGTTTTCAGGGCTGACCCTTTAGTAGGGAGAGCCACTTGGTGTGATCTTTCCTGGGGAAAGACTATTCCGCACACTCTCAGCATTCCTTAATTGTCTGCCATTCTTTGTGCTAGCAAGTTTGTCCTTGTTGAGCTAATGCTTAGGCAGCCACTGGTGACACTTTATGGATGTGGTTTCTGGCACTCCTTGTAGACATAATATCACAGCAAATCCCCTGTTTCTCTGGCTCTTACAATCTTTCCACCCCCTCCTCTATAATAATCCCTGAACCTTAGGTGCAGAAGTTGTGGTATAGATGTATCTCTGCATTTCTTGGTTGGTTTTAGCTTTCTGTAATGGTCTCTTATTTCAAACAGAGGTTTCTTTGATGAGGGTGAGGACTACACTTATCCGTGGATATAAGGACGGATATTTAGAATGTGGCTAGGAATTATGCTGGTTTAGTAAAGTGGTGGTTATAGTTTTTTTCTTCCAAGATCCATCACTTCCCTGGGTAGTTGGCTAGGTTTCCAGTACCAAGCATGATTTCCCTTAAATTGTCCAATTTAAACTCCCTCTAATTGTCTTAAGTACAATCAGAGAGCTATTGGTTATCACCAAGCACACCACTACTGTGCCCTTAGGGTAACTGTGCCATTCTGGTCATTGTGTGGTTTGTAGGCATCATAGCTGGGTAGGACTGTTGGTTACTTCTCTCTGGAAGTTTGCATGACACCATGCCTTATGCTACCATGAAATCTAGTCCTCAGGGAGGTTTTCAGGTCATTCCAGCTCAGGGGTCCATGTGCCCTGCATCCAAAGTGGATAGTGTCTTCAGCAATAAGGAATACCTTCCACCTCTGAGAGGCAACCAAGTACAATAACAACAGTCTGTGTTTTGGAGTCTCTTGGACAACCCTGAACAGCAACTTGGAGAAAGGTTTCTCATGCCTCCTAGTATTGTTTTCATTGTACTTGTTAGTTTATGGTTCTTGAATGGCTCATTGTCAGCCCAGATGGAAAATTTCATTTAAACTATATATGTATATTTAATCACAGACTTACATATATTATATGCATTTTTAGGTAGATAGTTAGTACTATGATTCCTTGTGGCTTTTTAAAGAAACCCTTAGCTTACCATCCTTTCTCCTTCTGTATTTTTCTCCCTGACTAGAACCTCCCAGTTTCCCCATTTTCCTCATCAGATCACATGTACCCAGCTATTCCACTCTCTATTGTTTCCTGGCCCTGCAATGGGCCCTTTTATTTACTGGTTTCTACAGTTAATCCAGGCTGTGTCCTTACATCTGAAGATTTAGAACCAGGAGTGTCATGCAATGCTTGTCTTTCTGGGTCTGGGTTACATCACTCATTATGATCTTTTCTAGTTCCATCCATTTACCTGCAAAGTTCATGATTTCATTTTTTCTTTACCAGTGAATAGTATTTCTACACTACATTTTCATTATGCACTCATCAGTTGTGTTGATTGTAGGGCATTTGGGATGCTTCCATTCCCTAGCCATTATGAGTAGAACAGCAATGAACATGTCTGAGAGAGTTATCTATGGTGCAGAACGTCCAGTCCTTTTGGCATATGCCAAGGAGTGGTATGCTTGGGAAAAAGATTTCACTTTTAGTTTTTTGAAAATTCTCCACACTGATTTCCAGAGTGACTGGATGAGTTTGCAATCCCACCAAGAAAGAATGAAGGTTCCCTATCCCCCACATTTAATTTATTTTTATTTTTATTTTTTTGGTTTTTCGAGACAGGGTTTCTCTGTGGCTTTGGAGGCTGTCCTGGAACTAGCTCTTGTAGACCAGGCTGGCCTCGAACTCACAGAGATCCGCCTGCCTCTGCCTCCCAAGTGCTGGGATTAAAGGCATGCGCCACCAACGCCCGGCTCCCCCACATTTATTGTCAGCCACTTTGTTGATTATTTTTCTTACTGGAGTAAAATGAAATCTCTATGTTGTTATGATTTGCATTTCCTTAATTGCTAGGGATGGTGAACATTTCTTGAGATATTACTTAGTCATTGTTGATTGATGGATGGATGTGGGAGGACCCAGCCCACTGAAACCACCCCTGGGCCGGTAGTCCTCGGGTGTATAGAAAGCAGGCCAGGGTAACCACAGGGAGCAAGCTAGGAAACAGCATCCTGCATGGTCTCTGCTTCAGTTCCTTCCTCCGAGTTCCTGCCTTGAGTTCTTGGTCCCAACTTCCCTCAACAGTGGACTACGATGATAAGCCAAATAAACCTTCTCCTCCTTAAGTTGCTTTTGGTCATGGTGTTTATCATGGCAACAGAAAGGAAGGAACTTATCGTAAGTCAGACTTTCTGGCATGTTCTCATTGACTCTCCTGGTTAAATTTCCTCCATGACTTTTTCAAACATGCTAATGAAACCATGGAGATGTCTGCTCAGAAGTCACACAGACAACAGGACTAATTCAAGTTTCATAGCCTGGATGTCCAGGCCCCAAACTCAGCAGCTCTCTAATGAAATTGGTGGAAAGGTCCCAAGTGGGGCTGGTCCTATTAGAATTTACTGGAAGCTGTCATAAAATCCAGATCCCTAGTCCCCATCCCTGAAAAGATCCACTCCTTGAAGGATCGGGAAGGAGCCTTCAGAGTCTGTTTTCCTGGGCCTTCCCAGAAGACTCTAGTGCACACCGAGGGGTGAAGGCACTAGTGATCTTTGCCTCACTGGGGGCGGGGTGGGCAGACAGGGGCCACTGGGAAGCAGGGATGTGGGAAGACCATGCTCTATTCACAAACAGCGGAGGCTGTGAAAGTGTGCATGGAGATAGAACGAGATGGAGAGGGCCCTGAATGAGGAAGAGTCTGAGATGGTCCTGGTGGAACTGAAGAATGCAGGCAAAGGCATACTTCTGGACAGCGTGCTTTATGTCATCAGCCCAAATCCCATAACCTCGCCCTCTGGACACTAGGCACTTCAGCATAGAGAGATGCAGGATCACCAACCATACCCCTGGGAACGGAAGCTCCTGAGACAGTTTGAAAGAGGGACAGACCTCTGCCACCCAATAAGCCACAGAGGTACCCAAACTCCTGGCCCCTATAGCAGATAATTAACCGATAGCCCTTTCCTCAATCAGAAGGTCTACAGAATCCTAAGGCTTAGATATGCTCTTTGAGCAGCAGAATTTGCCAAACGGAAGGGAAGCCAGCACATCATATAGGTCATGTGTCTGTCCCTCCAGATGTTGACAAGACAGCCACTTGCAATGGGAACCAAACAAAATCCAGGCAACTTCCTATCTTAGGTTTCGGTAAGAGCCTGCCTATCACTTGAAGGAATAGCTAAAACAAATACCATGGGAATTATTCTCCAAGGCACAGTCAAGGTGTCTGAAGGTGTCACTTCCTGATTTAACTCAACAAACACATTTCCCAAGCAAAATGCAATAACGAACCACCACTTTTAAGGTGGTTCCATAAGCAGAGCGGTGACATTGTAGAATCTGCTTCTACAGCAATGTCCTGAGTATATTGCCAGCCCTCCCTGGTTGGGGAAGTGGGAGTTTTCCAGCATAGGAGAGAATTCTTCCACTGGACCAACCTGTTTAGCAGGGGTGGGGGTCACTGAGGAATGTGGAGGCCGAGAAAGGGATGCCCACCTTCCCTTGAAATCTAAAACTTTAGAAAGCTAATATTTTATTCTTTTCTTTAGAAACAAACTGACCCATCTTAACAACACAGGAATGAGTCAACAGGTTTTGGTGTGAGAAAGATCATGCCTGCGTGGTCCTGAACCTACTCAAAGCCATCAGTTCTTAGGACTGAGATGGTCCTCCAGGTTAGGCTCTGCAGCCCACTCCCTTCTAAAGGGGCATGTGGATCCAGGAGCTGAGTCTAGCCAGTGGATAAGAGATGAGCTGTACCACGATGCCCACTCCAGTGTCTTAACCATTTTCATGGAAAACTTCACAGGTAGGATCAGGTTACTGGTGCTGTGGGTGACTTTCTGGTCCCAAACTCACCTCTAACTAACATGTGAAGACCCTGCCTTGCTAACAAAATGTTATCTTAAAATTTATTGCTTGGCCAATGGCACCATGGTGACCCAAAGACAAGTCTTGTGGGGCCCCAAAACAGGGAGCCAGGTGACCTATGGGGTTTGACAAATTGCCGCCATGCTACTTTTATGACTCACGATTGGAATAGGATCAAAGAACAACTACTATCATATTCCTGTCAGGTGCTTGGACTGTGGCAGTTCTCCAGGGGGTGAGAGTCCAAGCTCCTATTTAGAAAAAGAAGCACAAGCTCCGAGTGTCAGACCTCCCACTGGAAAAGGCTCCTGGGACAACTGTCAGCCCCAGTGTCTGCTGCCCGGCTGACTTTTGGTCTCTTACAAAGGAATACTTCAGAATATTCTCACGTTGGTTGGCATTTGAACCTGTCAGCCCCAGGCCCACATTTCACACAGTTCCGGCTTATCACTCAAATGTGGTTTCCGTATTATTTTAGGCGAATTAAAAAGTGGCTATTCTTTTAGGCCCTCAACTCCAACACTTTCTCAAAGACTTTGCCCATGGTTTGGGGGTTGGTGTTAGTAGTTGAGCTACATATGCGTGATGTTTAGGACTAAGATTACCCCACGGACATAGCTAAGTAAGTGATAGCATTTGTCTCTAAGAAAACAGCAGTCTGTTAATCCCCATAGGAAAGTGGAGAGAGCAGGGACTTAGGGCCATCATGTGACACTGGGGTTCCTTGAGTCAAGTCCTGGTCTTATGCATCCTTGTGGCCCCACAGCTCCTAGCACTTACTCTGACGACAAAAAATTCCATGATCCACAATGACCAAGAATTTTTTTTAGTGATGTTCTGTAGGGCTTTGATCAAAATGGCTTTGGTGTCCTATGTGTCATATGTCCTTTGTTTTTATAAATTCATTCACTTGGGAACTCTAAATAACAAACACTTATTAGTCTGATAGAATAAAGAACTTTGTATATGCCACTAAATTTGTATTAAATAACCCAAACCATCCCTTCTTCAAGGAAGATTCTATGACTCTAGATCCAAAAGTAAAATTCCAACCTAATATACTAGGGTAGAATAGATATTGTGGACATGTAATTAGCAATGTTCTTCCTAGCTTCCTTAGGATATAAAAGTGCTTTTAAGAAATAAATTGGGTGGCCTAAGGTCACTTAGAAAAAGGGGGGATGAATTTGAGCTAGTATCATGTATTTCAGTAAAGCACCCAGTAGTGGCATTTGCTCAACAAATATTTATTGGATTGTTAATGTGAGCAAGGCAGTGTGTGATGCCCAGTAACTCAAGGAACACCCAACATCTCTTCCCAGGGATATTTTGTTGATTTACTGTAGAGTACTTCACACTCCATTAGGAAACAAACAAACAAAAACATCCAATTACTAAGTCATTAGCACCGCCTTTTAAAATCGAAGCTGGGAAAGCAGAGCCCTACATTGAAAGGGCCTTAGAGACCCACACAGCCCCTAACATCACAGATGGGAGAACAGGCTCATGTAATAAAGAATGAGGGGCCCTGCACGTGCCTGCACAGAGGGATGAGGGCTATATATTTGTGAGGAGAAATAAGTTGAAGAGTGCCAAGGGCAATGAAATCCATTAGACAAAACAAAGTGACAAAGGCCTCAGTGCCCAACATGCTTTTACATTTTTAAACAGGGGAGGCATATGTCTTACAAGATGACAGAGAGCACACATTGGAAGGGGAGGTGGATTATACAGTGAGGCAGGGGCTGGTTTATGCATTAAGGAAAAGTCTTACTCTCAGATTAACATATGGTGTATGTATATGGTGCATGTGTGCACATGCATGTGTGCATACCAGTGGTCAATATCAAGTTTCTTCCTTAATCACTCTACAGCTTCTTTTTTTGAGATAGAGCTTCTTAAGTGAACCTGAAGCTCACTCATTAGGCTAGACTGGCTGGCCAGAAGGCCCTGGGAATCCTCCTGTCTCCATTCTGGTATTAGGATCAGAGGCATGCGCAACACTGCTTTTACATAGGTGCTGGGGTTCTGAATTCAGGTTCTCATGCTTGTAAAGCAAGCAGTATACTGGCTGAGCCATCTCCTAAGTCCCAATAATGTTCAATTTTATGCACCTCCATACTGTCATAACAAATATGTACATATGCATGTATGTATAATGTACATATACCCTCTACCATTTTATGATAGGAATACATGCTGAGAAACGTTTGTTAGGCAATGTGTGCTTCTGCAAACATCAGAGTATACTTACACACACCTAGATGGTATAGCCTAGCACACACATGTACTATATGGCCCATGCTGATAGTATATGTTGTCATAGGCCCAGTCCATTTTGGGTGGAGGTGCCATTATATGGCATATGACTACAACGATAAGCAGACAAATGTATACATAGAAAATCTAAGACTTTAACTTTTGAGACAGAGTCTCATTATGTAGACCTGACAGTTCTAGAGCTCATCATATAGACAAGACTGGCACAGAACTCAAAGAGGTTCACCTGCCCTTACATCCAGAGTGTATGTCTTACTACAGGGGCATGCCACTGTACTCAATTTATGATTATAAAAAAACAGAAAAGAAGTCTTGATGTCTGCTTGCAGGGTAAGGGTTGGATTTTGAATGCCCCCTACCCCTTTTGGAGAAGCCTCTGTCCTTGTTGAGCTGTGGATTCCTTATAGAGAGAGGTAACAGTAGTCCCTATCTGTTGGGGTGTACTGAGACTCTCGGAATTAGCAGCTCAAAGCCCAGGGCAGGTCCTCAGTGGACAGCAGCAATGACGGCAGCATCAACAGTGACAGTAGCACCAATGGTTGCTACCCAGCAGTGAGCCCGGAGGAACACCTGCCTCAGGCATAGTGGTCTCCATCCTGCCACAGACCTTTCTTCTCCTAACAGAGAGTTCTGGGAGAGACTCATGATGCCAAGGAGAGAGTCAGAAAGTCTGAGGTAATGGCCAGTGCCTGCCTTCATGACAGGAGCTGCTCGGTGACCAATATTCAGACATGAGCTATGCTTCTACGGAGTCGCCTGGAGTGATCAGACACTGTGTGTTCATTTTTCAACAGTTCATGTCAAATGCTATTACAGCCCTGGAGTGATGAGCAAAGAGCATAATTCATGGAAGTCAAATACATTCGCTCTTGCTTACCAAATTCATACAAAATAAAAATATGCCCCCAGACTGAGGGTCAGAAGGTCCCCTCCCCCCTGGAGCAACCCTAGAGTGCAGAGTTTACCCTCTCTGACATGTATCTCTCCTCAGTGAAAGGAAGAGCTTGGGATCTTTGGGGCTGCTTATGGGACTACTCATGTACACTGCGCCCCAGCAAGGATCCTTCAAGAAGGCAGGCAGGCTAAAGACTTGCAGAGATTTTTCTGCTGTTGGTACTCACAGTATGATTTCCATATGGGAGGCTGGTATTCCTCAGCATCTAGAATGAAGAGAGAGATCACGTGAGACTGCATGTCAACCTGCAAGTCGGTGTCTTCCCTAGAGGAGGGACAGCCTGTCAGCCGGACTCAATTCCAACCCCTGGAGTCCCTCAGCTCATGGACAGAATAGTCCCAGCCACAGAGGCAGAACGTGAGTGGTAACTTGTGGGCCCAAATACAACATCATCTTTGGATCACTACTGTGACAGAATAAACAGGTAAACAGTTTTCAGAATCTAGTAAATTAAAAAAAAAAGATTTTAAAGCAATTAACTCGATTGCACTCTCTAGTGATCCTTTCAAAATGTATTTACTCATCTTGGCATAATAAACACATAATGTATCCCACCGTCCCCAGCCAGATCTTTAGTCCATTTACTAAGACCTGAGAGCAGGATGCAAAGTGGCGAGCCCACAATATTAGGTGTGGAAAGTTGTGCGGCCAAAAGCCACTCCACTCTGAAACTCCTGGACCTGACTGTAGAGGCACGGATGGCGCTTTTGGGATGGCGTGAGTCCCTTGAATTAATGTCACACGTGACTCAGAATATTTGCAGCAGCCTCACAGCAAGTACAGGTGTCGGATGAGAGAGTTGTAGGACAGGATGAAGGTGTTCTTCATCACCCTCAGAAACGGGCGAGAGGAGGCCATGGCTGCTCCCTCAGCCCCTGGCCTGGGTGACAGTTCATGTCCTGTGCACTCAGCTATGAGCCTAAGGAAGCCCATGTCAGCCTAGACAGCCAGGGGGAGAGTGTTCCGGATGCACGTGGCTGGTACGGAAGCTCGAGCTCTCTGGTTTTGCATCTTTAGGAACCTGAACAAGCCCTGCTGTGTACTCCCCATTCCCACTCCCGGACTCCCTAATTTTGGAAGGAATTAACATCTGAGAAAGTTTTTCTCCCTGAGAAACAAATGTGCTATTTACTGATCAATACCAAACTCCAATGTGATAAACTCCCCCCACCCAAGTCCTACTCAGTTATGCTTGCTTAGCTTAAAATTTTATTTTACAATAAATATCCTGTTCCTTTGGCTCATCACCTCACGGACCCAAAGGTCACTGTGTATGAGAGTGCAGTGCACTGATGGTTTGTATTGTGACCAGACAAACACTGGCATTAACTCCTCAAGCATTTTTTCATATGTACTTATTTTATGCGTATGAATGTTTTACCTGCATGTGCATACATGCATCACATGTATGCCTGGTGCCACAGGTCAGAAGAGGGTGTCAAACCCCCTCTTATGGATGACTGTTAGCCACCAGGACCTCTGCAAGAGTAACCAGTACTCTAAACCCCTGAGCCATCTCCCCAGCCCGCTGGCATTAACTCTTAATACCTGTGCCAAAGTAAGAAAAAATGCCTCGTAATAGTGAGCTATTAGCCTAAACATCTGGATCGTTTCATCCTATTTGCACCATAAATCAATGTTAAACATTAGCCTGAATGTTTATTAAAAAGACCTTTTCAAACCAAACAAACCAACTTGCTGTGTTTACAATAGAATTCTTAACCATCCATCCCATGCCTCTCCACAGGAACAGCCAGGTCCTATATGCGTGAATGTGGATACCATCTCCAAAAGCAGCTTTCAAAGATAAATGAAAATCAATACAGGCAACTGTATACATATATCTGAGCATGCGTACATACACGGGAACACACAGAGACACACATATAATAAAGAAATCAAATCCCTGAGACGCTACAAGAGACAGCTACAGGCAGGGAGAAAAACTACCTATAAGCTCTTTATTATTTCAGGTGAGATTATTCTATGAGGTAAATAAACTGCCAGGCTAGATGTGGTCACGATCCTTCCGTACCCCAGCACTGTTTTCTGTGGATTGAGGGGGGCGGGTCTGGGGTAGCGGCAGTAGCCCCCTTCTGTGGGCGCAGTCCTGAGTTGGCTTGGAACTAAGTTGTTCTTACCACATGTCAGTTTAAATTAGACAACCTCACTATGAATGTCAGGATGGCTTTTCTCATAAGACACAGTGGCCCCATTAACCTTCACATAGCCTGCCCCTACAAAGTGTAAACAGTTTCCTTTGTATTTGCTTCCTGTTGCCAACAGCTCAGAGGTGAAGAAAGCTGCCCTCAGAAGCTAAGGATCTTAACAGTCCCTGGTCCAGAACCTGCCAACATCTTCCCTCTGTGTGTGAAATAGACTTCACTGTGGCCTGCAGCGGCCTGCTCTATCTGGAGCCCGCCCCGCTGAGTCTACTCCACGCATTTCCCCATTGCACAGCTCGCCTGCCACACCAGCCTCCTCGTTCTTAGAACACACAAAGCCTCTCCGAGTCTGTACCTTTGCTCTGTGGACGAGCTTCCTAAAATGCTCACTAATAGGTCTTTGCATGGCTCATTTGTCCCATCATGTAGGGCTCAGCCCAAATGTCACCTCCTAGGGGACTTGCCCTTAACCCAGTCCCTCTCATAACATGCAGCTTGATTTTCTTCATAGCTTCTGTTACCATAGAGATTTTTTATTGATTAATTGGGTTTTTATGACTGGTCTCACCTCAGTATTTGTCAGACTCCCTTAAAGCAGGAGCGCTGGCCCACTCATAACCCCTGGAAAGGTGCTAGCGTATACCAGGCCTTCAGACACAAACCAGAGAAGCCCGAGTGGGACAGTATAAGCACAGATGCCACTCAAAACCTAAAACCAAAACATGTTAAATAATTGAAGACATTTATGAACCTGGGAGAGGTGATGTATGAGGAACACCTGCCTCCGGCATCGTGGTCTCCATCCTGCCACAGACCTTTCTTCTCCTAACAGAGAGTTCTGGGAGAGACTCATGATGCCAAGGAGAGAGTCAGAAAGTCTGAGGTAATGGCCAGTGCCTGCCTTCATGACAGGAGCTGCTCGGTGGCAGCACTCAGCACTCAGGAGGCAGAGGCAGCTGACCGTATCTACGAGTTTGAGCTCCAGGCCAGCCAGGGCTATGCAGTGAGACACCATCTAAAAAAAATCCATAAAACTATATAATTTATATTTATAAATATAATAATAATAATAAATATTATATATGTGTGTGTGTGTGTGTGTATGAACTCTCAGGACACAAGGCCATCTGCAGACAAGCACTGCTAAGTGTCATGAACACAGCTCCTTTCTGTCCCCTACTCTCAGTATTAGGGTGTCATGAGGATTCACTAAGAGTGCTCTTGCAATGCTCCCAAGAGAGAACTGTGCTCAGCATTAAGTCCCTGATGTGGCGGGCTGCTATTACTATGTCACTGTGATGTCACCCTGTCCTGATTCTTCCCAGGTGGCTCACTGCTATTGTCTTTTATCTCTCCACTACAGCCATTGACTGTCTCCGTTTCTTCAGACCTGGAGTCTGTAATTAAGCTCCAGGGCTGTTGTCATGGAAGTTTCTTTTTCATATAAAAGAATTTAAATTGAGAGGTCATTTGTCATGCTTCAGTGGAACGACGATAATTACCTTAGCCTTTGAGACATGTTTCACACACCGCTACAGTACACTTCTCAGTGGCCATGGTCAGGGGACAGATCATATAATACTTTTAATAGGTCATAACAAATCCTTGGTTGTCTCCAACACTCCCTGGCTAACAATAAAGCTATTTGCACAGACTGCTCCCAAAATGTTTCCATAATCTGCTTCTCTCTTTGAAGATGGACTTCGCTCTTGAATCAGCTGACATTTCATTTTATCTTTATTTTTCTTTCTCAGATAAAGTTCTCAGGGATCTCATGAAGCTGTTATGCATCGGAGGATGGCCTTGAACTTCCAATTCTCCTGCTACTGCTGGGATTATAGACAGTCACTACTACACTAGTTCCATGTGGTGTTGGAGAGTGAACCTGTGGCCTCCAATATGCTAGACAAGCACTTTTCCAATCTACCTATGTCTTTTGTTCCAATTTCCCTTTAAAACATGGAGTAGGCCTGTGAGGTCATTTAGTTCTCCTTCATTACTTGGCAAATGGGTGAAATGAGACACAGAGCTATTAAATGGCTTCCTCAAGGTTATAAAACAAGTTTGAAGCAACAAAACGTCACCGGTCTTCAGGACCTGGATGTATTTTCATTCTTGTCCGGCAGACACCTCCAATTTACATATATTGAAGTTAAGAAAATGATACTATCATATAACAGATTTATTATTTTAATTTTTGTGAAGCTCGAAAGAAAAAAATGAGTGCAGACTCTCCATGCTCTGTGGTCCAGGGGACAGCCTCCGGGGTGAGACCATCTAGATTAAACACCCTACTCTGTCCCTCACCGTGAGATCTCAGGCAGATTATCTAATCTTTCTGGGACTCAGCTCTTTAAACTATCAAATGAGAGTAGGAACGTTCGCCAACACAAAGCATTAAGACAAGGGAAGGGTTCATGTGTATGAAAGATTAATCTGTAAAGAGAAGACAAGTATTGTGAGGACAGTTTAACCAGAGAAGAGACTGAGAGACACAAAGAAAGGGAAGAATGAAAAAGGAAGGGGGACAGGGAGATGGATAAGGGTGTGTGAGGCTTGGAGTCCACATTTCTAGAACCCACATAAAGATACCTGTGCTACCAAGACAGAAGCCTGAGGCAGGAGAATTCCCAGATGCTGGAGGTCAACCAACTTGGCTGATGAAGGGTGGGGCAACAGGAGATCCCATCTCCAATGAGGTGGAAAGTGATTACCAACCAAAGCTTGTCCTCTGACATTCATGGCACGAGCGTGCTCTCCACCCACAACACACAAACACAGACAAAGTTTCAAAATAAATTTTTAAAAAGGTAAAGGGTGGATATGAGACAAATTATGAGAATAACTAAAATGAAATGATTTCTTTGACTATAAAATAAATTCTATGTTTAATGCTATCATTATCCTTAGTGACATAAAATATTCCTGCCACATTGTTAGTAGTAAAATTACAAAGCAATTTATTATCAAGGTATCTTTTCCTTTTTTCCATTTTAGATACCATCCTAGTCTGCAGTCCAGCCTGTGTTAGAAATAATAATTTTCCTGTCTCAGACTCCCAAGTACTGATATTATAGGCATAAGTTACCACTTCTGAGCCTCATATTTTAGTTGTGTATGTGTACATACATGCATGTTCATGTGAGTGCACATGTGTGTGGTTGTACGGGCATGCATGTACTGTGCAGACAAAGGTCACCTTTGAGTGTTTCCTTCCTTTGGTGACATCTGCCTGGTTTAGAGACAGTCTCTCACTGGTCTGGAGCTAATAAAGTAGGTAAGGCTGGCTGAACAGTGAGCTCCAGGGAGCCCCCGTCTCTGCTTCCTCAGAGCTGGCATTGGAAGGGTGTGTCACCACACCTGGCTTTTTAAAAATGTACATTCTAGGGATCAAACTCAGATCTTCTTGCTTATTGGCTGAAATGACTGACTGACTGACTGACTGACTAAATAAATAAATAAAGTTCAGATTCCCAGAAGCACAATTATTAAAAAGCCATTATATTTGGCACTGGATAGGTAATCCTGTTTTTCTCTGATTGCTTACCTACACCATGTGATGTTCTGGTTATATTTATATTGCTTGTATAGGAATGAGAAGTAAATTTAGAGGAGTGCTAGGTTTGCTGTTGTTGTTTGCTTTTTACGCACTGCCTAAATAAAGCATCACCTTGAAAAGCAGTTGATACCGCGAGAACAACAGAAACAGCTCATATTTAACACAGACAGCCTTGGTGCTGACACAGGAAGAACAGAGGGTGAAGGAAGGAGAGCAGGGCCATGCCTACTATCCAGCCCCCTTTCGAAAAGTCTTGTGCTGTGAATCCACCATTCCAGGCAGGCGGGGAAGCAGCTATCTCCACTCACTTCAAAGAGAAAAGATGGGAAAAGGGGAGGGGAGAGGGGAAGGGGAGGGGAGGGGAGAGGAGAGGGGAGAGGGGAGGGGAGGGGAGAGGAGAGGGGAGGGGAGGAGAGAGTGGAGGGGAGGGGAGAGGGAAGGGGAGGAGAGAGGGGAGGGGAGAGGAGAGGAGAGGGGAGGGGAGAGGAGGGCCAAGAGGGCCAAAGGCACAATTAGAACTTGAAAGTGACCTTGAGGAGGTCATAGATGGTGAGTACTTGAACCTTGAAAAGATGGCACAGTCTCGAGGAAATCAAATTCTAGAATGAGCCCAGAGAAGCTGTTCAGTCTGTGAAGCAGCCTGGGGCACTGGGGCCCCTTAGAGAGCATGCGTGGGATGACATCATCTGCCTAGTGAACAGCAAAACCAAGACTTCACCAGAGATCTCACTAAACTCAGAAGTCGTGCACACTTACTGTTGAAAACAGGAACATAATAATTCAAAAATGTGTCATTTTTAAAGTCTCCTACCTCAATAAAAATGGGCCATTAATAGATTTGTGTGAGTCTTTACAACTTTTGCTCTGTGACTAGTTACAATAAAAGTCTACCAAATGGTCACATACTATATATTAATATGTGACTCTGCAGTTTGCTTTTTGAATTTTAGTGTTATTTCTCTTTTTTCCTTACATTTTTAAGGCAAGGTCTCCATAATTATTATTACCCCTCTCACCTCAGCTTCCTTGGTGCTGGGACAGCAGCCGTGTGGTACCTGCCCAGCAGCTCTGGATGCTGTTTCATAGGTAGGCATGTTTTTCTACACCTAACACAGACATCTATGTTTCTTTTTCTTCATTTACCTAAAGCTTGCTCTCAGTGTATGCATTTCCTAAGACGTAAGTCACGTAATTGTGTACAATTTCCCAGTGACAGACATGCCGGCTGCTTTCAGCCTTTTGCAGATGGAAACAATGATTTGACTCAACTTGTGTTGCATTGTTCAAGGGGTGGAACTCGGGTGAGTGAAAGCCTATGTGCTTTTATTTCAAAAGTTTTTGTTAAAATATTTGACAGAAAAGGTTGTGTTAACTGGAAACCTCAAGGAAGTGTGCAAGAAAACTGAGCTCCCTATACCCCCACAGTCTGAGCTCTCTACTCCCCTATGGTCTGAGCTCCCTACACCCCGACAGGCTGGTGTCAATGTGCATCTTAATTTGTGATGCCTGTAAGACTTAACTATAAACTCACAGGAAAGACTGTATTTGAGGAGTAGCAGATGGAGACAGGGAGCTCTTGCTGGAACATGGCTGCGACCTGATGTGAGGATACACGAGTCCCTAGGGTTTTGTTGGCTGCAGCTGGAAGGCTGTGCATCCCAGGATTTATGGCTCCAGAGACACACCACCATGATAGAATCACCTGAGGAGCAAGTGTAAAGGAATCTGGGGGTTGATAAATGAAGAAAAATGAAAGACAGCATGCGTTCTACTTGGGTAAGTGACAGCCGAGGAGGAACCCTGTAAACATCTACGAGAGCCAGTTTCCTTCCCTTGGCTCAGTGGAGGGTGACAAGAGCAATGGAAACTCACAACCAGGCTTTGGACACGAGAGGAGCCAAAGATTCACTGGTCCAAAGAATGACCTAACAAGCAAGCTGGAGGAGGCCTCCGCTGAGAGTATCTTAGATAAACCTGTGCACTTGCATCAGGGGATTTTCTGAGCAATAAGCGGAGGGCAGGTTGCATTCCCCCTCTACCATTCCCTCTCTCACAAATGCCAGCCCTCGGCTGCCACTTTTGATTTATTGATGCACACATTTGCAAATGGGCTGCAGTGGGCTTTTTCCAGGGAGGTTGGGCGAAAACAGGTTTTTCAATCAGTCCTGGAGCAGCCACACAATGAAATGACAGTTCAGGATTTGTAGCATGATTAGCTTAATGGAGCCAGAATGGGTTGGGATCCAAATGAAAGCAGACAACAGCCGGAGTGGGGTGCTCCTTCTGTGTGCACTGCAGTTGTCTGCAACAGGACTGCCCAAGCTTCTGAAGGTTCGAGATGCTCACGGGGCTGCAGTGCACCCCGAGCCACGGGCTTGTCAGACCACGGCAGTCAAATGGCTCCAGTTCTTGATCAAACTGCTGCAAAATGTTGGATGAGAAGCTTTCCGGAGATTTCTTGCTAATACTTCTCACCTGCACAGATTATCTGCATCGTCCTGAGAAATGAGACCCTCTGTGCATTTATTCTCTTTGAAAATGGTTTGGGTAAGAAAATAGAAAAATAAATGAAGGCCTGGTGTGCATCAGCTGGGGGGATCAGCAGGGTTTTTAAAAACTTCTTTTTTGTGATTATAATATAATTACATGACTTTCCCTTTACTTTTCCCCCAAACACTCACACATATCCCTCCTTGCTCTCTTTTAAAATTGTGACCTCTTATATACATATATACGCATGTTCCTAAATATAACCCGTTCAATCTGGGTATAATGTTAATTGTATGCGTGTATTCAGGGCTGACCATTTGGTACTGAATAGCCAGTTCGGGTGATCTTCCCTGGGGAAGACCATGTCTCCTGCTCTCAGCATCCCTTAGTTGCCTGCATTTCTTCTGTGTGGGGTTGAGGCCTCCCGAGCTTTCTCCCACGCGTTTTAGCATGTCTGTGGGTGTCCACCTTGATCAGCTCTCGTTTAGACAGCCATGCTGGTGAGCTCCATGGCTGTAGCTTTCGACATTTCTAGGAGACAGCCTCACAGCAAACTCCCTGACACTCTAGTTCTCACCACCTCCTCTTGCATGCAGCCCCCTGAGCCTTAGGTTCATTAGTTGTTTTGCAGATGCCGTCAGTTGGGGTTGAGCCCATCACTTTGAATTTTGAATGGTTGTGGTTTTCTGTAACGGTTTCTGCCTGACTCAGATACCATTTCATGGAATGAGCTCCCCTTGCAGGAGAGTTGATAGGACAAATCCCTGTACCTTACCAGAACTTTCTAGCTCCTCAGGCTGAGCCTGAAGATGAACTTTGGAGAGACCTTCTAGCAATGATGAGGCCACAAAGAGCTGGAGTCTGTGGTCACTAGAGGGCACTGGGGCCGCATGGAGCTTCTGTCCTGGGCGACTGATGCTGCATACAGAGGCACGCTGAGTTTTCCATTCAGCAAGTGTTTGCTGAATAAATACCAGGAGCCCAGCTCTGGTTACCCCAGCACAGAGGAAGGAGGGCTCAGAAAGTTCTGCCAACTGTCTCTGGCTCTTCCTCCTCATCCCATCAGGCTCTTCTTTCTCTTATAGCTTAGTCACATTGGCCTTTCTTTTGGTCCTCGGAGGTACCAAGTTAACACACGTGGTTAACTTCTGATTGCCGCATGGAGTCAGACATCCTCTAGACATTCTTCCCAGGCCATGCACGCCATACACTTGACTCTTTTCAGTTCCTCCCTGGGCCTCTGTGTGTGTGTGTGTGTGTGTGTGTGTGTGTGTGTGTGTGTGTGTGTTTACATGTTATCTCCATAAACTTGACGCACAGCAAGTGAAAGCAAGGGCCTCATTTATCTTGTTCTCTGCTTTCTGCGTCATTTTTAGCCCATTGGGTCTCTTCCATGCGTTTATACAAAGATGTCCTACTCAAGTAGGCAGCTTGGTGGTTGGACAGACCAACAGTTGGGCAGTGTGAAGAAGATGCTTCTCCTCCTAGGGTACATGGATCTCAAACAGAGTGTGTGGCCTTGCTAGGTCTAGCCCCCACTTGTCTCCTGATGGACACAAATGGTTCAATTTGAAATTCTATGATTACTGTATATTAGGACATAGCAGGCACTCAGTCAGGTGCTGGCTTAATGAAAGATAGAAACTCATGCCATACACTCTGCTGTGGGACACAAAGGAGGAGACCACTGGAATGCGGCAAGAGGATGTATAAGAAGGAAGATCAGAGTGGCATTTCCCAGCTTTTGGAAGGTGGGACTAGATTGGGTCATTTTGTCCTTCCTCAAGCTTTGTCTGACCTCTGACCTTGAGTAGCTCTGTCTCAGTAATAGGCACAGAGGTCTAAAGGTTCCAGAGACAAAGCTTCTGGTACCATAGTACACTGCACCTGCTTGAAGGGTTGGACATTGAACAC